CCAACCCCACTGCCCCCCACCACCCCACAAGACACCCACCTTCCCCCACCCCACATTCTGCACCTGATCATAAATAAAAATTGGGCCTGGCTGGTGTGAGGACACCTGGGCTCTATTCTGGGTCTGGGGTCTAATGGGTTGGGAATGAGTCCGAGTGTGTGCGGGGAGGAAGGAGGGACCTGGGTTCTGCCCCAGCTCTGGAAGGAGATGGGGGGAGAGTGGTTTAGAGCAGTCAGGGAGCAGGGGAGTGGAATGGCAGTCAGGACTCCTGGGTTCTTGACACTGGCCTTTTAAAGGTGCCCTTTGACCTCACCAATCTGGGATACAAGCTCTGCCCCTAACCTGGGGTCAATCCCTCAGGCTCCGCCCCTCAATCTCAGAAGCCCTGCCCTTCCCCTGGGACCCTTTTCCTCAGGCTCCACCCCACACCTAGAACCCCACCTTCCTTCACTCAAACCCCACCCACTCGCCTGGGACACTGCCCTCTCAGGTCCTGCCCCTCACTTGGCCCCACCCCTTCCATCCTGCAATCACATCCTGCAACACTGTCCTCCCCCTTATCATGGGGCCCCTGCCCCTTTCTGCACTGCCTGCAGCTTTGGCTCAGTCCTGGCTCCATCTTGTGACAAATACGGGGCCTGGGCCCAGCTGGTGAATACGATGGGGTCCCTGCACTGGGAGGGCAGGGGGCTTCCCCCAAAGGCCTCTCAGGCACTTGGGGGGCTGAAGTGGGGGCCCCGCAGTACCTGGAGAAGACCAGGATAATACAAGGGACACAGGGGCTCTCCCCACTGCTCGTGGTGGGATGGGGGGGGGGAGGGCTGACCCCCACAACCAGGGCACAGCTGGGTTAAGCTCCCACCCTCTCCTGGGGAGAGGGGGAAAGGCAGGGAAGTTTGGGGGTGGGGGTCCCTCACAAGGCTCCTCTCGTATTCACCTGGGCAGGGCCGCCCTGCTATTTGAGCCCCGTTAATGCCCCATTTCATACGTCTTGTAGGGTTCACCCAGTGCCCCCCGTAATGCCCAGACCACAGCAACCAGGTACGTAAGACCCCTCCCTCCTCCCTGCCCCCACATCTCTCCCCATCCCTTCCCCCCCTCACCTGGACCCTCAGCAGCTACCACCATCTAGACCAGGTCAGTATTGGTGCCTGTGCCAACAGTCCCCACCCCCTTCTTTGCTCCCCGCCCCCAAACCCATCTCCCAGGACACAGTGCTTCCCCCTTGGAACCAGCCAGGAACCTCAGGGTTATCTGGGTGGCGGGGGACAAGGTTTTGCACAGACCTACATGTGCAAAGACAGGGCATCCCTGCTGGCACTGTGAGAGTGTGCATGCCAGTGCACACATACTTGTATACATCTGGTATCCATTTCTCTTGATGTTTCTTCCTGTGCCAGCAAAGCCCTATGTGCACGTGCGTGTGCAACAGCACCTCCTGCTCCCTCTTTGCACACGCACATGCACACATCCACATGTAAATGTGCCTACGTGGGTGGGCCAGCCCAGTAGGTGCTTTGCATATGTAGATTTCTCTGGAAGCAATTGAGGTCCATGGGCATGTGTGTGTGCATGCAGTGATCATGCCTTCCACCTGCACTTTGCACATGTATGTGCATCCATGTGCACACATGGGTGTGCAAGCCCAGTGGGGGGAGGTGCACCTTGCTCCTCCATCTGTATATGCAAATGTATCCATGTACACACATGTGCAGGCAAGGTGACTGTGTACCCCCTTCTCCAAAAACTCACTGGTGCCAAAGAAGCAGTTCCTCCTGGACATGTACATGGAACTGGCACGGAAGCAGAGGGCAGCCACATTGCACACTCACCTTGGTCAGCAGGGTGGAGCTTTGCTTGTGCACACGCATGTAGGTACACATGCCAAAGGGTCACCAGCGAAGCACAGAAGCCCCCTGTGAGCTCTGCCACCCCATTGTGTTCCCAGGTCATGGGCATGCCAAGCAGCCGCACACATGCCAGCCACTCACATACCATGTCCTGTGGGGTGTGGCGTGACCCAGTGTCTGTGTGTGTTTCTGTCCCCAGCGCTGATAACTGCCTGAGGCTGCCCTGGGCCGGTCACATCCAGCACCCCCTGGAGGCAGGTTAGCCCCTGTGATTCCTTTCCTGAGAGGGGAGGGGGTCCCTCAGGGAGGGCAGGGGCATCTGGACAGAGCAGGAAGGCATCGCAGGTCACCACCACAGTTTCTCCTCCCTGGACATAGCACATGAGAGTGGGCCCTTCTGGGTTCCTTCTCCTGGGTGCTAAGATGCAGCTGCCTCTGGGGTGGAACAAGTCAGGGGTCTGTTTATATAGAGACCACCCCCTCACCCAGCATCCAGATGCTGGGACAGGAAGTGCAGGGGAGTTTGAACCTGGGGAAGGGATTCCTGGAGGAGGGTCCCTTGAGTCAGGTCTGAGCTGGAGAGGAAGCCCCTGGCATCAGCCCTGCCCTATGGCACCCTGCGGGAGAGACTGGGCCAGGTTTAGTGTGATGCCCTGCTAACACATGTGGCACAAGCTGCCCATGCACCACACCCACTGCCCAGGTGTGGACTGGCACTGGATCCACAGAGAGCAGGTGTGAGCTAGCACATGCCATGACTACACTGAATGTACTTTGAGAGGGGGCATGCTCCAGGAAGTGTACACAGGTGACATGTCCAGTGGGCAGCACGTGTGTCATGCCCACTGGATCCTGTGTTTGCCCACAAACAGGGACAGGTGCACATGTGGGCACCCTGCCAGCACATATATGTGTGTGCAGGCTGGCCCAGGGGAATGTACCCTTGTGTACTACACACTGGCCCTGAGGGACACTCATGATAGAACCAGCCACCACATGTGTGCTGTGCGCCACTTTATGACACATATGTGCAAACACATTTGCACACTGCCTCACAGGCAAATCCAACTGTGGGCACAGCTAGAGATGCCTCCCCCAGTGCCCTCCTTATGCCACTCTGATGCATGAGTCTTGTTTCTGCCCCCTCCACCCTGCTCCCAGACTGCGGCATGGAGCTTGGCTTTCCCAGCCAGGGGCCTGCCACCTCCAGGCCAGGGGCTTTACAGGGGGCTGTTGCAGGGGTGGGGAGCAGGGAGCTAGGACACTTGGGTTCTATCCCAGCTCTGGAAAGGAAAGGGATGGGTAGGGGATGGGCAACTGGGCTCCTGGATCCTACCCCGGCTCTGGGTGTGGAAGGCAGTCTCATGGATGAGAGCAGGGGCATGGCAGGGCCCGCACTCCTGGATTCTTCTCTTCCCCAGTCTGTTCCTGTACTGCCTGATTACATGCCCTGCATGGTGCCTGCCCCACTTGCATGCCACCATCGTCTCCCATAGCCTCGCTGTCCCTTGCCCCAGATCCCCCTCCACTGGGGACCTGGGATAATGGGCACCCCAACCTGCAAAGCAGAGATACATCTGCCTTGCAGGGGGGAAGCAGACCAAGGGACAGAGAGATCCCCCTCCCAGCACCCCCTTCCCCTACTAACCCCTCCAACCTGACTCCCACCCCCATTTCTCCCACCCCACTGATGGCCACTGGCACAAGGGAATTTGGGGAGTGTGGCTGGAGCTGTGGGAAAGCGGTTGCCCAGTGATGGGGGGCTCCCATGGGTTGGGGGGCATGGGTCCACAGCTGCCCCCATGGGTATATCCCCCCCTCCTATTAACTCTTCTTTCTCTCCCTCCCCTTAAAGGTTACGAGAAGTCCCGGAGCCTGAACAGCATTGCGGGATTGAGCCTG